GGGAATGAGAGACCTTGATCCTCCTCCGGCTGGCTGTACGGCATGGATGAGATTTACAGGCAAGACAGGGGAGTTTGGGCTGGCCTTGCAAGATTAAGTTTTTACTGTCTGAGTCATCAGTGATCCTAACCAAAACCTGGCACTGAGGTTCCTAGGAAGGAAGGGGTTAAGCGCCTGCATATATGGCATTTCATCATTGTAGGTACAAGCTATTCCTCTTGTCCCCAGCCGGTCACATCCGGCTGCCTGCTCCAGAGCAAAGTGTGGAGCTGTTTGTGAACTCCTCAGTTCCTGGAGATTTTCACACGCCAGGCTATATGAGACGTGGGGGTGGAGAAGTGACGGACATGTAATCGTCACCAGCCACTGTCCTCACGTGCGTCTGCCCGAGCCTGTCGGCAGCGTGCCAAGTTCCCACCGCCGTGGCTGAAGTGCCGAGCAGGGACACCGATACTCTCCGCAGCAGGCTTGGCTCCCCTGTCTCCCCGAGGATCATCCCGGTGAAGATCGCCCTCGGCTAAGGCAGTGGAAAAGAGGGATCTAGGGCAGAGATGCCAGAAGCCGCAAGGCAAAGCCTCTAAGCCACTGGCTACAGAAACTGCCTCTGTGTACAGGTAGGAGCCTCTGCTCGGGCACCACGCAGGCTTGGGAGCCATCACTGACCTTTACCGAAAGGAATGACTCTCAGACTCTTCTTTGGCACTGCTTACGTGTCTGTAAATCGAAGCGAATCTAACTTCCTCCTTAAAGGGCTTCGAGTTCTATGGTTGGAAAGTGAAATATTCAAAATAATTGTTAAGGATTATGAATCATAGTTCATTTTCATTTCAGATGAATGCTAGAGATGGTAGTGTTTCTGGCTATTTTCTGGCATCCTGAACCTGAGTTCAAACTGCAGTCTGTGACTGCCTGAGCTGAAAACATGGTAGGATCCTTTGGCACAAAAAAACATTCGTAGCTGAAGATGATCCAATTCAGCTGCAACTGCTGTCTCTCATCTAACTCAGGGAATTCTCTTCCACAGCTGATATTTTGTCTTTCATTCTCTTTTGGCATTAGTGCCTTTCCCACAGATCTACTGTGTGCTGAATAGGATGTTCAATTGGACTGAGGCCATTACAACTGTGTAAGAAACAAACAAGAGATCAGCCACCTTCACTGCTCTTTTCCCCAGGGATATAGCAGTTTAGGACAGGAATATTTTATCTTGTTTTATAGGCCTGTAAGGCCTGTGCACACTCACAGCTGGAAACAAACTGAGGTATCTTTAAATAGTCTTAAAAATTGTCTGAAACTGGGTTTGATGCATGACTAGCAACTAAGACCAAAGTGTTAATTTTATAAAGCAGATGCCAGCATTCTGCAGACCCTGCAAGAAGGTGATTTCTGGTAGCAGGGGGTTATTGCACCTTTTAAATCAAACTTAACTTTGTAGGGCTGCTGCATTATATTCTATGCTTCCCTTTTCAGGCAGAGACAGCTACGTATAAGTGTTGGTTATGGCTGCAATTTATCAAGCAGTGCATAGAAGAGCTTCCTCTCTTGTCTGCAGGTTACACTCTACCTATGTTAGAAAAATGAGGTAAGTTCTCACCTGATTCTTGCGTACAGTGAGAAGACCAGAGTTTGGCGCTCTTGTGTCCACTGTCATAAGCTGCTTGACCTAAATCTAACCTGGGGGTTAATCTTTTAACAGTTCAGCAATAACACAGTAATGCTATGTGAGCTCTGTAAATGAAAACAGTCAAAATCTCTCTACTGCCTTCACCACTGATAAGAACTGGTTCTCGCAGGCTGAAGCTCTGTTAATGAATGCCTATGCTCACTGTCCTAGCTAAAGATCTCTTACAATACATGGCAGACTTGAAGTGACCCTGCTCACCTCATTTTAAATACTACTTTCAAACAGTATGAAAGAAGCATATCCTAACACCCTTTTTCCAATGATTGCTTTTCCCAACTCAGGCCCCAGCCAGCTGAGCCCTAAGACTTCACTTTGGTCTTTACCCCTCACATCAGTGTGACAGGTAGAATGTACCCTGTAATAGTGCATGTAGCCTGACAGGAAGCATATTCAACATCTGAAGTGCTCAGTAGCTTTGCCAAACAGGACTTGGAGCCATCCAGATTGGGGGGGATAAAAGGGAGGATCAAGGTTTCCTCCACACAAACGATCATGTCTATGAAGCAGATCTCTTGCATTAAGAGATTGAGTTACCAATCTTCTTGGATGTCCAAGACCTAAGGCTACTTGTGCGGTAGTAAGAATTGCCATGTTTTCTGCCACACAGCACCTTCGCTAGAAGCTACAGTCCACCAAAGGGTAGACTCTCAGCTCTCAAAAACTCTAGAAGCATGTGGAATACGTAAAATCCATACCAGCCCCCCTGCTCTGTGCAAAAGAAATGCGTCCAAATAAGCATAATCCAAACATGATCTTGAATTCATCTTCTCAATTCTTTTCTCACTGCAGGTACTTAAATGAGCTAAAGGAAGATGATAGCCTTTGTAGACAAGCACAGACCTCAGGAACTTTCTACCTCTTTCACAAGCTCTGCCCCTTCCTGCAGAAAGTTGGGAAGAAATATTTGGTACCACAGCTCAGTGCAGCAGGTAAGCAGGTGTCCAGAGAGAAAAACCTCCCGGATCACACAGCTGAAATGACAGAGTCATTTGCAATACGCAACTCCTTACATGGGGGCTGAAAATCTGGGAAGCTGCGCAGGAACATCCTGCTATATGCAGCACGCTATTTGTTAACAGCCAAAGACCATTTAGTTAACCCTTGGCATGGGGACACAAGCTTATGCTCTTCACACACACAGGGTATCAACGTATACCTGATCTGGTTTGAGCTGATGAGTTTTAAACCTTTGGGACCATGCTGTTTGAAGAGAGAGGGCTGGCAGAAAACAAGCAAGGTCTAACTGACAAAGGGTATTTGGCGGAATCAGGAAAAGTTTTCTTTTGAGAGAAAGGTATTGGCTAATATAGAACAGAAAGAGAATGGACATCTGCTCCCCAAGCATTACAACATTTGTACCTTCAGCTTGACATGATCAAAACTTCTAACAGCTAGGAGGAAAGCCAGACTTTTGGTCTCCATCTGTGTGGGACCACTTGTCTGGTCTGCTCTTTCGCATGAGCACCCTGCCTTGAGCCAAGAGTGTGTGTCCCTTGAAGACTGAAAGAGCATAATGTTGTATAAATTTTCTTTCATCACAGCTTTTTCTTCCCCTTTCCCGTGCTGTTTAGAGATGAAAAGGATCCTGGAGAAATTCAAAGAGACTGAACAGTGGATAGAGAAGTCGGTGCTGATCGGTTGTTCAGACGAGCACGTAGCACACTTTGCCCTGGATTTAGGTTGGGATGACTCCTCTTCCATCTGTGTCAGCATCACGTTTGATGGACTGAGATGGAGATGCTGCCTAGGCAGCATCCCTAGTCCTTGCTGGGTGAACGTTTTCCGCCAAAGAGGACTCGGTTAAGTCTCTGTAGGAGCTGTTTTGAGCGTGGTGGGTCAGAGCCACAGAACTGCACTGCTGTTCCTGTGCGTGTGTTAGTAAAGGTGGGCTGTTGGCAGGTCACTTAACGTTTGGGAATGTTACCACTAATGTGATGTCACTTCCACGGGAACTTCCAGAAATTGTATACCGGAATAATGAAGGGCATAAAGTTGGGATAATAACTGCAATTTATGAGATCAAAGATTTGTTTGTTGGTGGTGTTTTTTTTTTTTTTTTAATTTAAACAGGAGACTTGGAGAAATCAGTCATTGAGTCTGAACTCAAGGGATCGTTTACTGACTTAAGAAAGGCTCTCTTCGTAGTGGATGGGAAGGATTCTCGTTTGCTGTCTTCGGTATTGTACAGGATTTTTTACTTTAAGAAGTTGCAATTTCTAACATAGTAACAATTTCTAATCCTTCTCTTTGTCTCCCATAGTGTTTTATGATTTAATATGTATTGTGGAAATACCTACTGTACACTTTCAGTATCCTATGTACAAACACACTATAAATTCCAGCAGTTTTCCCAAATTTCCAATACCAGAACCAAGTTGCAACAGAAAAAGAAACATATAAGTGGCTTGAAAATGACCACAATAATTAGCCCTTTAGCATCAATTTGCTGTATGCCCAGTATGAAACATGCTGATCTTATCAGTAGTCACAGCAATGCCAGTTTGCCCTCAGCTTAACAAATAGAAGGCACTAGTTTTCTGTAATCTTCTAGGCAAACTGAATTTGCCTAGAATGAACTTACAGATCTTCTCTCAGAGCTGCTCCTTTGAAACTACTCACTTATAAGCTGTTACTCTGCCAATGCCATATGTTTGGAAGTCCTAAAAGACTTGTGTGTGAAAATCAGCTGTCCTGACCCATAAGTAGAAGTAGCTTATGTTTCTTTTCCTGCTTTATAATGTTTATAGTGCTTGGGCTATTTCTCAGGGATGTATTCAGACGTGGAGACTCCTTTGAATAGTTCAGTTCCCATTACTCCCATTATGTCCCAATAAAGAACAACTCTTCCCAACCTCCCCTGAATGTGGTCAAATTTGGATGCTAAAGCATGAAGCACCGACTGCAGAATCTGCCATTTTTCAAAGCAGTGCCTGTACTTCATTTACCTTTCTAGGGCTCTGAAACATAATCAGAGTTTATCCACACAACTGCATGCTGGGGAGAAGACAGCAAAGTATCATTCAGGGAGACTGCTCTGAATCATCTCTTTGCCCTAGGTATAAGTAAGATTTTTCTCTTGCTGTTCATAGGCCCAGTCCCTTCTCCGGTGGCACGATTCCCACCAGTACTGTAGCAAAACTGGGCAGCCTACTCAGAAGAACATAGCTGGCAGCAAGCGTGTCTGCCACGCCAGTGGAATAACTTACTATCCACAGGTGAGCACCTGAACAGCAAAGGTAAGCAATACAGGGGCTCTGTGGCAACAAACCAGTGCTGCTTGGTTGCATGGAGGGGAAGCTGTAAGAGGCAGCAGGAGTGCTTTGCATACAGCTGGGTTTTCTTCACTGTTCACCCAGTGACCACCAACGGACTAGGAAAAGCAACAATTTGCACTTACTTGTTTGGTCCGAACTCCTTGCTTTGCTTTTTGATGTATTTGCTAGATGTCTCCAGTGGTTATCATCCTGGTGTCTGATGGGAGCCGGTGCCTCCTCGCACGACAGCCCTCGTTTCCCCAGGGGATGTACACTGCTCTGTCAGGCTTCTGTGACGTGGGTAAGGCGGTCTCTGATCCAGCATGGTGGCCTCGGACATGCAGGGCACGGGGGCAGAACGATGGGACATCAAGGAAGCGCCTGTTCACAGAGGAGGATGGAAACATAGATGGTATCAGGGAAAAACACACTGGATCCAAGTAGATCGGTGTTGCCATTCAGACAGAATTCAAAATAGCTGTATGTATCTGAAGAGAATGGGACTTACGAGTATATATCAGTTGCTGTAGTCCCTGATGGTAAATACAAGTATAAGACTCCCCAGGTTAGAACCCCGGGTACTTTTTTAGTCCATTTTGTTCTAGTGCATTCTAGCTCAGCAGAAAAACTACAGAACTCTTGTTACAGGAGGGAAAATGGCTTAAAAAGGAAAGCGATGAAGAGATGCAGCATTGTTCTGTCCACCAGCTGTATACAGACAAAGCCAAAAATGTCTCTGATACCTCTGTTTAAGAGAGGCAAGCATTGTCGATAAATTTAATTGAGCATCCTGCTGACAAGTGTTTCCAGGTCAACACAGTCGGAGCTCCTGCGTGTGCATGAGTAGTCAAGGGCTGGAACACCTCAGAAATGAGCATGCCTACATTTTTGCCACAGTTTGCTGCCCTTAGGCCAGGCCATCCTTACCTAACTTTGGTTGCTTCCAGGTGAAAATGTGGAGGAGACAGTGCGGCGAGAGGTGGCAGAAGAGGTGGGCCTGGAGGTGGAGTCGCTCTGGTACTCAGCTTCTCAGCACTGGCCCTTTCCCAGCAGCTGCTTAATGATAGCCTGTCATGCTTTGGTGAGAGCACAGCAGGCTGAGGTGAGAAGACTCAGGTTCTCCCTAGGCATTTTACTGCCCACCTTACATAGAAAATCTCTTTCAGTCCACAGACTTCAGTCTGGAGAGCATCAGATCCTCTCTAAATGCAGTTTTCCATCGGCTTTCTCTACAAGTGAAGACCAAACTTCAAACCAATCATATCTTCTGTTGCAATGTGCCAGATTTTGCACAGGTCACTATATATATACAAGCCCCGAGCCCAACACTCCTATATTTTTTCCTCTGAACTTTGCAGAGGAGGTACGGAGGTACTCTCTAGTATTAATATCATATTTTCCATAGAACATGCAGATTCTGGCATGTTAGTTACTGTGCCCAGCCACTGGTACTTTGCAGGCCAGTGCCGTGATGGATAGGGCTATTTTGTGGCTTCCCTAAGGAAACCAAGGCAACAAAGCACTGGTGGATAGTAATGGCCTTTCCTGTACTGGCATCAGCATTGAATTCAGGCATGGATAAAGCACTCTGGGCATTCTAGCATAGGATCTCTATGGGTGCAAGAACAAGCCAGGTACCGCTGCCCACATTTAAATCTGATTTAAGGAACTGGTACTCCCTGAATTCTTTTCCAGATCAGTATGAACAGCCTGGAACTAGAGGAAGCCCACTGGTTTGGCCTGGAGGAAATTGTGGAGGGTCTCAAGAGAGAGCCCAGATCTTCAAAGCACGAGAATGGTAGTTTTTTACCCTGGTTCCCTCCCAAACAGGCCATTGCTCACCAGCTGATTTGTGAGTGGGTTAAGCAGCAGACTTCCCAGCCAGCTTAAGTGTAATGTCAAGTCTGCAATTCTACGAGAACTACCTGAAGGCAAAGTTTGTGTTACAGTGAGCCATCAGCACCAGACTGATGGCAGTCTTAGATACATAGACATACAAAGCCATTTCTAAACTTATCATCCTTACGCAATTCCATGTACGGTGGGTCACCTTTGAGGTCCCATGACTTGCAGTAAATGTACAATAAAATTCTTAGTCCCAAAGCATCAAACTAACTGTGACCAGTTGCTGCCGTTGCCCAGCAAGCAATAGAACAGTGAGCCCTGGTACCTATGTCCCATTTTCCTCCATTTTGCTCATCTTGGATGGATATCAAATGCACAATTTTTCTAGAAAAAAATAAAGGGACAGTGGTGCCTTTCAGTGTTCACATTTATATGGATCTGGAAGAACTATCCAAAAAGACTTTAAAAGGCCACTCTCCCCTTCTTCTGTTTCCGTTCCCATTCAGTCTCCCAGTTTCATATAAAACTTTTTTTTTTTTTAAGTGGGGTCCTACTTCATTCAGGTATCTGAGCAACTAAAAATCTCTCTAGAGGCACCATTTTCACCACCAGTAAGTCAGTGTTACTTCCATCACAAGGAAGAGAGAACAGTGGTGGTAGAGAGTGGAAGAGCAAAACCTACATATAAGCTTATTAGAACCACCCAGATAATGCAAAGGTGAGAGTAACTGCTGACGAAAAGGGACTGCACTTCTGACAGAGAAAAATCCTGAAGTCACAGTGCCTCTTACCCTGTGTCAAAAGTCTATGGCTTTCCTGGAGAGCTGGTCTCATTTCACTGATGAAATGGTATCACTTCTCTAGAAGGAAAGCAACAAAGAGACAGTCTGGGCAAGGAAAGCTTAGTAAAAGAGAAGGATGTTTGATCTGCTGCTGATTGAGGCTGACAAGCCTTTCTGCCTACCTGGTCAGAGTTCAAATGCCTAGATTGCAAAGCCATCAGCAGAGATTCTCAAAGGGGGAACAGGAATGTATCACTGACTGCCACCATTAGGATTCTTTGTAGGTGAAAGACCTTTTGAGCAGTGGTAAAAATCTAGTCATGACACCTGAGCAATAAGTAAAAAAAGAAGGCTTTCTCACAGCATTGGGACATGCTTTGTTTTCTCAGAGTCAATTTTACTTCAGGAGGCTGGGAGATTTTTTCAGGCCACAGTGGCATGTGGAAACACCTTTCCCACCCTTGCTAACTCTCAGTCAATAAAACCCATGTGTCAGAGCAAGTCTTTCACGCTTGTGAACTCAATTTGTCAGTCCTTCTGGAAAGAATGTGCTGTGGTATAGCCAAGAGCATTGCTTCCTCCCCTCCAGCCCAGCCAGACACACCACAGGAGCCCCCACACCACTGAACTTAACTGCAACACTCCTGCATCCAGTTTCCTTTGAAACATGTCCCGCTATTTCTCTTCGTAGTAGTTCCTCCTGCTTTCTCTCCCACCACATCATTTTAATTCCCTGGCATTTCTCTCTTCCTCTCTCATCTCTGGAATCTGCCATTTTTATTTTCAGCCCCACTCCTTTCTTCCCCTTCTCTGCAGTAGAAGGTATGGAAGAGTTAGATACCCACCAGCAAGGTATTCCCGCTTCTTGTCCTCTTTCCTACTTCTCCTTAATGCCTTCCCAACTCACCCTTTCGTAGTTCATTAATCTGTCCCAAGCTTGCTTCCAGTGTACAACATCCAGCTCAAGGTACTTAGTACTTTTTAATATCCACATAATCTGTTCTCCCAGAACAGGCAGAAAAAGGACTGAGAAGTAAAAGCAGCAAAAAGCTATACCTACGAATGAAAGGAGGAATGGCTGTGTGACTTCTGCAGTCATCTGAGCTTTGTGTGTTTTGGTTTTGTACTTTTACAGTTCATATATGCAGTGTATGTCTTTGTCAAACCAGCTGCAGTGTGATCAAATTCAACATCAGAGAAAATTCACCTCTGTTTGGGAAACACTGGGTTACTCTGCTTATAAAATTATGGTTTTTAACGTCAACATGCAGGCTATCGGTGAGCTCTAACTGAAAGACAGCAAGTACTGCCTGCACCAGCTCCTTCTGAACTGTCCCTTCTACATTGCTGATACAGACCTGTCTTGCTAGTGTGTCCCTTTCGGTGATGTGGGCACCACAGCAGAAGGCAGGCTGGTCACAGGAGGTGCGATCATTACTGCCACCCCCTTGCTCGACGCTGATGGGCCAGACACTGCCCAGGCTGAAGCTGTGAGATATCCACAGACTTCAGGACAACTCTTAAAAGCTGCAGTCTGTCTAATACTCTTGACTATACCATGCTTCAGTTTTCATCAGCTCCTGCCTGTTTCCTACAAGAAGAAAGGTAGAGGAAAGGCAAAGCTTTTTTTTTCATTTGTTTGCTTCTGTGACTCACCTTTTAAAACACAGTTTTAAATGTCTGCATGTTCCTTTCAATTATCATTAAGAAAAAGACTTTTCAATCTACTCATACTTTTTTTTTGGCAGAGCAAGGCAGTATTCTCATCACATCTTTTGAAAAGCCTTAAATTTTAAACTGTTTTAGAGAATCCTTAATCCATACCCTTTTGTCTTAGGTATGAAACAATGATGGTGGCCTCTGTCTCTGACATTAAAAATGCAGGAATGATTATAGCCAATTATAGGCAATACACAGCTTCAAACAGGACAGAAAAACAAGATGAGACACATTGTTCTCACTTGCATTTGCCTCAGAAATCTGGCTGAAGCCTGAATAATACTGCAGTCAAGACAGAACATGTTCCACAAAGGCAGGTGACCTGGAAAAAGAAACAGGCAATTCCTGACAGATGCTTCTCCAACAAGATACAGCACGGTTTTCCCATGTAAAACATATCAGGCAGGCAGAAGGGACATGGCAACATATTTCTCTCAAAACCACAGCCGTTAAATGAATCCTCTTTGGGAACATGTGGCTTGTGTAAATCACTGAGACTCCACTGCTTTCAGAGACTGCAAGAGCTTGGGACTTTAGCAAGACCCAACCACTGAAAAGCAGCCAGCCTGTGGTATTACAACCCAGTTGTTTACAAGTATTACCAGCAGCAGGATACACAGACAGCTACAAAATAATAACATTCATCTGATTAATTTGAAATAGCCTTTTGGAGAGCAATGCAAGCAGGTTCAGAGCAACATTCCACCCACCTATCCAAAGCAGAAAGGCATAAAAGTTATGTTTATCTCCAACAGATTCCAGGATTAAAGTAATCAAACCTCATAACAAAACTTGTCTATCTCTGACTAACAAAGCTCAGAAAAATGTTAGCTGGAAATGGTGTGGATTGAGAAGTCACTTACCACATGCTCTCATCACCTTGGGCTGCTCTACTGCTGCACGGAAAGGTCACATTTTCCTACCCAGAGGTAGGAATTGTGAATGGCAGAAGTCTGACTTTGGCATTACAGGTCAAAGAGGAAGCTCTTACATCAAGGAATTACTGCACCTTAAAACATGATCTGAGACATGGTGGAATCTGATGTTTAGCCTGAGAGGAGATGAGCACTTATTGGAATGACCTGACAACATGACCACGTTAAAGTAATTTTTCAGGTAATTATTTCTCAGATAACCATAAACAGTTCAACTCTGGCAGCTGCAAGGGACAGGTTGTCAGAATAGCTTGTAATTACACAAATAAAATTCCTGTGCTTCAGTCTGAAGCACTGCTGAAATATATTTGACAGCCCCAGCCTTCAGCTCCCATTTAAAACTTGTTCACTTTTCAACTTAGGAACAGATGGTAAGCAGCTGTGTAAGGGAAAAAATATTGCCAGATGTCATTCACACAACAATGCATACACCTGGGAATGACTGAAGCACCACCAAAAGTACTTCTGTTAAAAAAAAAAAAAAAAAAAAAGAGGCCAGGTTGCCAATCTGGAAATGGTGTGACTTGCATTTTAAGACCCAACAGTGGTATTTTGTAGACAATCACATGTGCTCAGCGATGTCCAGACTCATCATTATATGGAGAAACTGAAGTTGGCATTGGCTGTCAAACACGAGAAGGATCACAGGAGCAGAAACATAAAGCTTCCCCAGCTCCCTCACAGGGAGAGCAGTATTGGCACAGGAACAGAAATCCTTCTCCAGTGGTCACTGTGCTCAGTTGTATGTAGCATCTTTTTATACAGCGTTCTCCACAGAACTTCACATCTAAAGAAAATACAGCTACAGAGAGAAATAGCAGAAGCTAGGAGGCAAGGCAAGAAAAAAAATTTTCAGTAAGATTTGAAGTGATTGGGGAAAGGAGTGGTAAACAGCAATGTCATTCTAATGGCAGGAAATGCAAAGAAGGCTCTAGTTCAGTGAGTGGAAATACTGCAAAGGGACCCAGAAGATTTACTAGTACATTAATAGAAGCAGAAAAAGAAGACAAATGAGGTTTGGGATAGGGACAAAAGCAAATTCACACATCACTTTTATTAATAAGTCTAAGCATCTCAACAAGATCTTTTAAGGAATGGGAAGCTGAAAATTCATAAAAGGAAAGCTGAGCACTGCAGTCAGGGTGCTAAATAAATGGGTTGGATTAGGACAAGAGCAGCTATGCACCTTTACCTATGAAACACTGTTGACTGATTTGTTTCACAGGAATACAGCAAAAGCAAACAGATACTGCACAAAATTCAGTAACTGCGATCTGTCTGAACAGCAAAAACCTGGGAAGTTTTTATTAGTGAAAGAAAATATGTCTACAGTCACAAGGGGTATGCAGTAATGATCTGAGGAAATACAATAAATATGGCTGCTGTTAGTACACAGCATGAAGAACACCTAGATTGAACTAGATTATATTCCAGCACTATAACTGTATGGCCTTATAACTGCAGGTAAGGTTAATTGCCCTCACCAATTAAAAAAAAAAGGTCTGGTCTGATCTAATTTAGATTAATATCACTGCAGTCAGTGCGTATCATCACTCCTTTTTGTCATCAAATTATGAAGTTTTTACTGGAAACATCTCATTTTCCACCTCCTACCTGCCACAGTGGTCAAGTCACCTACATATTTTTTTCTGAATAAACTGAGCTTTACCTTCACATTAGCTTTGCTCTTCACTTCCCATCCTTGTATGCTTGCAAAATCGTGAGTATCCATCTGGGAGTGCTGACCCACTTCAGCATAGGCTTTATTCCAAACAACAATCCACATTTCACACAGCAGTAACACACAATGGGATATTCTTCTGCCTCCGTTAATTACTATGCTTCTTCGCTAGAGTTTCATACCAGAAACCCATAAATTGTTCATGACACCCTTTTCCATGACACTGCACTCTACAAGACAGTTTCCTAGCCTGGAAGCATAGCCAGCACATACCCCTACACCTGCTATTGTTTCTATCCTATTTCAACAGGGCAGGATGTTAGTGTAAGAATTCAAACACAAGAAAAACTGAATCATGACCACAACAGCAATCCAAGTTATTTTTTGCTGTTGAATTAATTATTCACTATTGGCACCTGGAATTTGTTATAGGATACCCTCTCTCTCCTCAGAAGGTGGTAATCAGGATTCTCAGCCACCAGCTGAGCAACACACTTGAGGCACATCAACTAAGGTGATGTTTTAGGCTTCACACCCCTGACTTCATATTCTCGAGCAATTCACTTCTTTTAATAGCTCTGTATTCTGGTGTTTAAGCCGAGAACCCTAACTGCCCTCCATGGTGGTATTTTCTTAGGGGAATAAACAAAGTTGGAGAAAGAAATAAATTTCCATCTTAGACCTGCCAGAACAGATGCTCTTGTGTTCCGCTCCAAAGACATAAATAGCAAAAGGGAGGGCAGCTGCTGCTGTTGCAGCTTTTGCAGCATCCCAAGGGATCCTGAGGTGGTACAAAGGGCCTGCCCTGACTCCTGCTGCTATTAAAAGCAAAATCCAGTTTCACATAGGAGTTAGATAAGTGGCTGCAGCAGGAGCTGCACAAACATGCATTAAAAAATGCTTTTCCACCACTACAGCTAAAACATGCCCTGGAGATAACTGTTATTCCTACACTGCAGTGTTAGAAAGGAAAGGCAGGAGGCAGGTGTCGTGCAGGGAGGTGATCCTCCATGGCAACAGGGGAGGCTGACATCCACTTACATGGCAAGGATGCTGAAAACAGTTTGTTTGCAGGAGACTGATTTAAGGACAGGGACTTCAAATAGCAGGTAGTATCACTGACACCAAAGTGCACTTGAACACAACTAGCTGTACTGAAATACCACTCCTCCTTAGCCACACCTCCTCCACACTGACCAGACAGGAGTTAGGCTCATGCTGGAAACATTGCTAGCCTGCAGGCTGCTGACTTCCAAGATAAACTGCACATCCTCTATTAACAGAGACAAAATAACCGCCTTCTTTCTTAGGCTGCTCACTGTTCCATAAAGCTTATCAGTGGAAAGAGACTGCCCAGGTGTTTACAAGAGTTTTATCAAGTTAAAGGCCTCTGCTGTCCCCTGGGATTAGTTTCAATCTCATATACGGAAGATGAAAGATCCATTCTTTGTTTTCTTGCTTGAAACATACCAGTCAACAACTACAGCATTCAGAACTGGGGCTATAGGGATCAAGCCACAAACAAGACAACTACCTTTCTGGGAAGCATCAGAAGTTCTAGGATGAACAAGGCTGTACGAAAGGCAGATGCTCAAGTGAGCAAAGTGAATAAATTGTGTTGGAATGCAGTTCTAGTTAAACTAATTTAGAATATAATGGGATCTTTGATAGCAACCCATTGAAAGGGAACCACAGTGCACTTGTCTCCCCTAATTAATTCCATCAGGCTTCCTTCACTAAAAATACTCTCTTTCAAAATTAAAAGCAGAGACGCCTCATGTTACTTCAAAGCAGTGGAAGAGGCAGCATGGAAATGCTTATTCTTTGATAGCAAATTCTCTTGTGAGCAATTCCAGAGTCTTGAACATCTCCATCGTGAAGCTGCTAAACAAAAGTAAATAATCAGAATAAGTACAGCCCCACAGAAAAAACAGTCAAATTGATGGAAAAGTGAGATTATCCAAGAAGCAATATCAGCGTAAGTACTTCCAAAACATGAGCTTGAAAGTCTTCTTCACATACTACATTAGAAGATTCCTTTGATCTGTTTTGACCTTTCGTATAGTGCAGGCCACAAGACAGTTTAAATGTGATCATGTTCTTGAATTATTGTTTAAAGTATCTAAATTTGATCTAACTACTCATCAGTGGAGAGTTTTATGTAGTTTCAGTGTTAATTATCCTTCCTGTTAAAACATAAACCCTTTTTAACATTTTTCACCACTAACTGCTGGTCACCCTTGTCTGCTAGATTCAAGAACTCCTCTTATCCCCATTTTTCCAGTGTAGATTTATCTAACTCAACCTCATTCCACCTCACCTCTCCGCAGTCCAAACTCCTTGAACTTTAGCAGAATCTTTATACTTCCTAATTCTTGCTGTCCATTCTCTAATCCCTGTCCAACTTGCCAGTACTCTCCCTAAACTGTTGACAAAGTAACTTCCAGTGCATCGATGGAGGACAATTGTGGAGGCAGCATAGCCATTCTACCCTTCAAACACATTTGTTCCATGCATTCACGTAAAGAATCTCCAATATTTATGATATCATACTGGAGCATTTTACCAGATATTTGTAACTTGTAAAAACAAACAAAAACTTGGAAAAAAAACAACAAACCATGAGCATAGATCAGTAGGAAATTCAGCAAGCAAGCATTCACTATACATTGTCAAGGTCTCACGATTTCAATGGAACTACGCCAATGTGTGACTTTCTAAGAATTTTCTGTGCATTGGTCAAGCTTAGTTGGCACAGCAGTCAGATACTGAAATGCATCATCCAACAAGGGTCCAAGTCCTACATGGAAACAACTTTTGCTACGTTTTGCTTTGTCAGTTAAAATAATGCCACTTCACGCCAAAAAATTAAAGCAAAGACTTCAACTAAATAGACTCCAAACCTTAAGACTAATAACATCATCAATAATAATAATAATTATTATTAATAATATTATTCAGTCCTTTAAAAGCAGTTAGGCGTGCCTTCAAGATCAATCAGGCTTGTGTATCATTGAACACTATTTTTCTGAATATGTTTAAAAAAAAACCAAACCAAACAAACCCCAAAAATTCAACCAATGAGCTTCTCTCCTACCAGTTAAGACACTTGATTAATTTTTGTGCGGAATAAAGACTCGTAGAAACCAGTTCAGATCTGGCAGGACTGCGTTCTTGCTGTCTGTAAATCAAGAATTTCTACATATTTTATTTCAAATTTATCTTGTGAAAACCAAGTCTTCATATCTAGAATAGATTTTTCATTCCATGTGAAAGCAACATGCTGAATGCCTTCTAGCTACATTTTCACTGAAAACCAAAACTAAACTGTTCAGACTGGGCTCACACTCAGCTATTGCTGGCATGATACCAACATTCATCAATAATAGAATTAAAAAAACGCACAATTATGAAAATGCTTTAACTACAAGAACTTCTGTTACTGCACTGAGGAAGTTATGCATACCTTCAAAGAAAAAAAAACAAACAAACAACCAACCCACCTCCAGTAATCAAGTTCTATTTTTGCTTTTATTTAAATAAATTCAAAAATTACTTATAGCAAATATTTACATATTCAATCCAATTACTCTTCAAATCCTCCTGGTTAATAAGGAACAGATTCTTATAGTAATTATCAGAACTTCTTACAATGAAGCATTGTACTTCAGGAAAAGTGATTCAGTGTCTGCTGAATGTTTATCCAGCGTTCCCAAACCCACAAGAGAACACTGCTCCTGTAATACGGTATTCTTCCATCTCCCCCTGAAGGCAGGAGTATTTTCAGAACATGAACTGCTTTCCATATATTGAAATCACCTAGTCTTCGGTAAAAGAACATTTTAGAAATACGGCAAAATTGAAGATAGGTTTTAAAATAAAAGTTTCATTCAAGTCACAACATCAGTTTTCTGAAAACACGTTAGCATTGGAAAAATCAAATTTCTGTCCAAGATAGCATCCAAACAGACAGCTTCTGCAGGTAAATTCACTTTGCATCTTTAAAAAGTCACATGTAACTAATGCATAAAATTCTTTAAATTCAAACCTTTTGACTCTTCTTCCAAATAGTGCTAGTCTTTCTGTGCTTCATTTCTCAATCAGCCATGTCTTCCGAATTGACAGGTTTTTATTCTGTTGCTCCCTTATTAGAGCAAATATGATCTACATTTTCAGGTAAATACACTCCCATGCTCTGTAAAATGTTAGAGGTGGGTCCTGCCCGTCCAGACTGAGCACTATAGGATTCAAGCAGGTTAGCTACTAGGTTCATATCCACATCGACCGGTGTCAACTCAGTACCCTCAGCTCCACAATCAGGGCCAGCACTTTGAGCCGTTGTTGCTTTAACAGAACTTGCCTATAGTAAGTAAAAAGACAAACTTTTATCAAATTGCATAAACAGGTTTAAAAAAACCCAGCCAAACAACGAACCAAACAAAAAAAGACAAGCCACAAGGGAAAAGAAACCAGGAAGTAGTTCTCCAGCCAACAAGGTTCATTACGTTCCACACTGCCTTGACAGACAGGAATTTAGTCACCAAATGCACACGCCAGTTAAAAATCATCACTTTCCATCATACAATTTAAGTTCCAAGAGAAGGGCAGAGAGGGTTACTGAGTCCTGGCTCAGTTTGCTATGGGAGTAATCTACTACAGGAACTCAAGAAGTCAAGCTGAAGCTGCTCACCTTACTACTAAAATAGGGCAAAACAGGGAAATGAAACGAAGTCTTGGAAACGATGTGCAAGTTAAAGCTCAGCTAAGTTGTTGGGGTTTTTTTTCAGAAAAGAAAAATACCATGGTGCAATTGCATCACACTGCTTGCCCACAGGACTTTTTTTTTTTTTTTAATAATTAGTTAGCATGTGCTCAGAAGACAGAAATTTTTGATCACGTTACTCAGAATGACCACTTTTAGTGTATTTCCTCTTTCCTACTAGAGCTCTCAAAAACATTATGCTACAAACTAGAACTCAAGGCATACTTACCCCTTTCTTTTGGGTGGTGAAACTTTTACCAACACTGGTATGTGCCAGTTCACGGTCCATCTCATTCATATATGACTTGAGACTGCTTATAAGCTCATTAGGTGGTACCTTCTGGTCTTGCCTTTCATTTTCAGCATCTAAGTCTTCATCATCCTCATCTGAGAAATCAAACTCCTCCTCTTCATCCAGATCATCAGAATCCAGCTCTTCTGAGTCTGCCCCTATGTATTATTTTGTGTCAGTACAGACAGCAAACACCTCAGCACAGTGCCCATGGGTGATCGGAACACCCAAGGAAGCCAAATAACCATGACATATTCTGACAAAAGCAACAAAGAACCAACCTCACCTAAAATCCTGTCTAATGCTTCTGTAAAAGAATCTACATCAAAGGTAACACTTGATTCAACAGATGACCTGAAATATAAAAATATTTTTAAATAAATAAAGCATTTATGCTTGCAGAAGCCTAACACAGGCACAAACCACATGGTATACTGACTTCTCTCAAGCCTAAATTAAAGTTGGGACGTTTGACCCCATGGTCCTGGAAGTGCTTAGAAGTCTGAGGCCTGCATGAATTAGAAATGAAAGTGGAGGAACTCCTGGCATGTAAGAGAAAATAAAACAAACAACTTCAGTTGTTTGTCATAGTCAAACAAAAATTGCACTGAAGACAACAAAAATAAGCATGCCTGAATCCTCCTGAAACAAAGTGGTGGTGTTATACCTTAGCAAAGATTTAAAAAGCTGAGAATCTCTGAGGTCTTCTGCCTAGAAAGAACACTAAAGGCTTCATTCTGGTCTCCCTAAAGGTTCAGTGGTTTGCCTTTTTTGTTGGCCTTTTTTTTGTTTTTTAAATAACTGAAAAAACCTACATTGTAACTCAGACATTGAAACTAACACTATTTTAAAGGGATCATACAGTTAAGAGCATAAATTGAATAGACCCTTATATGCTTGATAGAGCTTACACAGCATTATTTTCTCAATATTAAAGCTACTAAAAAGAACCTAGACAAACTAAATAGTTAAGTACCTTCAGTTGGCACTTTCCTTCTACTGTTATGAACAACGAGAGGGATCCACAGTGATTCTTTTCTCCTGCTTCTAGGTGTACAGTATGTGCTTCAGTAGTGCAAAAACAGGCCCAGTATATTCAAAATACTCATCTACAGGAAATCTAAATACAAAAATCTTAATTCCCAGAGACAGATTCCCCCAACTTAAGTTTCATTTTTATCTCTGCACCGCCTTATCAGAAGAACCTTAGCAGTCTGAATAGTTAAGTCTTCCATGGCAGAGAAGTTTCAGCACAAATGAACTCGAGATGTACATTTTAGTAACTGCTAAGAGCTATGGTAACAGACAACTGTAAGCCTTCAAAGGGTTAAAAAAAATTTTTAAACCACAAGCCCAAACTAGGAGTGCTGGAAAATAGCACAATTGCCAACATTTTTACCTGCACCAGTGTCACAGTGGTCACCAAGTTGGTTTAAAAGCAACTACATATTCACTACTAAGACGGGTTTGTTTCAGGCCTCTGCTAAGCAGAATTTTTCGAACTTTGATTCCCTGCATTACAGAATCAACCAAAGGGCTGCAGCAGAATGAAAACACATTCTACATCAGGCACCAAACTTCAAAATACTACTACCATGGCATTTCTGCTCCTTCATGAGTTGAGACTTTGGACACAAAAGCCTTCATACTTTCAGCAACTGCTTCCAAGTCATATTTCTGCTCTTCCTCATTTGAGGAAGAAAGGGACTCATTCCTTGCCTCCTTCAGCATCTGATCTAGATCATCTGGTGTGATTTCCAGCCAACTGTCATCTGAAAGAACATAGGACATATTTGTTATTCCGCACAAGTCTGTTAGCCCACAAGGCCAAATCCACGCAGTTGAGAGTACTACTGCTAGCATTTTGTAGCTTATTTTTGCATTACTAAGTTTTCATGCTATTGGGTAACACAGGGCGTAAAGCAGTGAGAGGCTAAGAAGAGAGTTGAGATTTCATTTTACTACTTTAAAACTCTGCTTTATATGCAGCTTCAAACTAGCAGATACTGTTCTAGTCACAGATAATCCTTCTGCCACTAATTGAAGGAAGAAAATGTTTACACTATAAAGGGAGAGCCAATCCAACCTTTGACTATGATCATTAACACTGAATGTTGGACTTGGGTGCTACTGCATCATTCAGAAATACAGACATGACCTGTACTGCACACTGGCAACAACTACATTTCTGTCAAATGAGTGGGAAAAACCCTATTATACAAAGTTTATGCTGGTCTTGTATCAGTCATCAGAGTAGACCAGAGAGTAATTAACTTCATATTGTCAGTATTGGAATTGTTTTCTTATTATAGAAAGAGTAGAAAACTCTTTCTACTAGTTTTGATACTTTCTGTCTGGCAGACAGTTGACACAAAGCACTTGATCTGGTGTAAGTGTGCATGGTGTTACTGATCTAGTGTTATCAAAGCAGAAACTGGATTGCCTATCTTGCCAATTCACATCCCCGAGCTTTGAGACTTACACAAGCTAACTGGTTGCCTCAATCTTAAATGATAGCCCATGAATAATACCTATAGCAGTCACAGGATAGGAGACAAAGAAAGCAGATACAGAGACTAGTACAGTCCTGTGAACGTTCACCCTCTCTGCCCACAAATAATAATTAGTGATAGGAACAGTCCACCCCCCCATTCTGCTCACCATCCTCTGGAGGAAGACAAGCTGCTTCTCTCTCAAATTCCTTCAAATCAATGGTTGTCGTCTGTAGCAATGTCAAGATTTCATCACCTGGGCTCACTTCAACAGAGCTAGAAGCAAAAAAATTCAATTTACTGAAATAAGTTTTTACTAGCATTACAATGCCAATGGCATCACACACTCTACATGCAGCTTTTCACCCAAATTCCTCATTATTCTTCCTGTGCAAATATGTCAAAGAGATAACTTGGGGGAAGCAACAGAATACTACACAGATAGTAGTAGCCAAAACAAGGCACAGCCAGTTACTACAATTCCTTGTTGATAGCTCCAAAGCCCATTTCTCATGTTTCCTTTGTCCTTTATTTTGTCTTGATAAACATTAGGATTGCCAGATCCCAAACAGCACAGACTGGAAATTCCAGCAACTAACAGCTAAAATATTACGAGCTGGCAAACCCACAGATATTTTTGTAATGATTTATTTTTTGGATTTGATCTTCTGAAGAAATCTACAACCAGCTGCCTGTCTTGAGTAAAGGAGACAGATTACTCCGTATTTATTATTCACTGGGATTGCTTTTCAATGAAACTTTTAAACACTTTCTGCAGCCAACCAACCAAATGATGCTTTTCAGTCACCTCTTAACCCACTTGGAATAGCTTAGTGTTTTACAAAACCAAGATAAACAGTTACTCAAGCAGTAACTTCTACTAGTAGAGATTATTCTAGAGGAATTAATACCCATATGTCCTAGCCACAGCACCTATGTTAAGTGTACAACGGAGAAAAAGGTCCAGTTTTTTTGTAACGAGTATTAAAAAAGGTAAGTTAAAGTACGTGTAGGAACTGTGTACAATTACTCATGAATTTCAAGTACCTCTTACCTTTCTGGCTGGGTAACAGATTGTTGGAAGTAATCTTCTGCCATATGCAACAGTTCCAAGTACTTAGCAGATCCTTCCAATTCTCCCTATTTAATGCAAGTCACAAGTATGAATCTAAACAATTCTCTCTCCCCTTCCTTTTCACAGTCAGGCTTTATAACAATGACTATTTGTCACACAAATTTAGTGCACAGAAAATCAAATCAAGTAATACTGCTTTGCCATATATACTTGGAACAGAATATAGGAAATGGGCATAAGGTGTTTTCACAAATATGAACTGAAGTCTTATGCTGCAATATCATATGGTGCACACTAAAAACAATCAAAGACAGTACTATGATTCCCATAACAGGGTGGGTTTATCATGTCCAGGTCACAATTGTACAGGAATTGTGAATGAATCTCTTGGTGTTTGGGAATTATCCACAGAAGTGTCACGGCAGTACTGTAAGAACATTCCCCTTTTCCCCTATTTAAAAGATATTAACCTAAGTGTTCCAAAAGAGTTGTCCGATTTTATAACCTTTAAATAAATCGTCAATTTCTGTCCAATTTATAAACTTTGAATTAGTAGCCAAAGGCATCTTTTTTTAAACCCAAACCCAAAACACAAAAAACAAACCCCACAAAAACCACACAAACAAAAATTACACTTACATGGGCCCAAATGGGTCCATGGGTGTTAAGTATAGCTCTTAAAGAACATAAAATTCTATAAGTATGCAGACAAAATGTAAATCAGTGAAAACAGTTATGCTGACACACCACCATATTGTGGTTTCCTTTATTCAAGTGTGTTTCCCCTTTTTGTAGATGAATGGATTCATCCCCAAATCCTGCTTTTTCCTTTTTATTAAAAAAAAAAATTCAAATGGGAACAAACTGCACATATCTCCTTTAAAGACATTAGTTCATTTTCCATAGACAGAAGCATTAGATTTCTTGCTCTGCTCTAACTATTTACACAAGTTCAAGAGCTAAAACATGTTTTTCCTGGACTGTTTAAAAGACACACACACACACAAAACACTTCACCTTGAAATAACTTTTTTCCTTCAGGCTGCTGAGGAATCTCTCCCACAGGGGACCGCTTAACATATTTCTCTTGGAATCAGGAGATACTTTGCTGCACTTGGAGCACAAAATTTCAAAGCCATGAGCCTGTATAAGAGATGCAACAGCAAGAAGTTCTCAAGGTATGACAAATTCAGGTGCACCTTTAAATGACTGCATAAAAACTGTCATCGAGCTCCTGATGCTGCCATCTGAGAAGCAGATGCCAAACCAAATTATATGTCAGGTAGCAGTATCTTGCTTTGGAAGTTGTAATCTGTCTTTCTGCAGCAAAAATGGACCATTTCGACTTTGCGAAGTTTCTCTACATGGGTGAAGCAACCTAGAAGACAGATCTACAGCGCACAAGCTACTCCTCACATAAGCATGAAGACTTTACCTGTATTTACAATCTATGGAAGTACAAGAGTGCTCTACTCTGTAAAAGAAAACTCCCATGATACTGTACTGTACTGACAGAAAAACAGTAACTGCAATTTGCTCGCATTTTTCTGTACAAGCAGGCAACTTACTTACAAGCAAACAGTCATTTCTCAGACATACGTCAACAAGCAAACTGAAGACTAAGTACAAAACGCATAAAAAATGATTACCAGTTTCATGCCCAGTTCATAGGATTTGTATTGAGGGTGAGATGGGAGGGGCAGCATGTATCCACTGCGTCTATCTGGAACAAACTTCTGTTGCACCAGTTGTGCATATAAACACTTTGTGAAAGTAACCTGAAAAAGCCAAAGCAAAAGAAAAACACTCACTGCAGTGTGACTGTGTTGTGTACCAGCATCAATTTTACACCAGTCTCCCCTAAATTTTGGTTTATAGCACCCATATTATGGATGATACCCAAGATTGTATTCAAAGTGCATCTTAGATATATGTGCCTAAGATACATTGCTTTTCAGATCTTATAAAGTATATTGCAAGTTTACAACTGTACATAAACATGAACGTCATTCAGTCTAAATACATTAGGAAAAAATCCTCAGTAGTTCCGACAACAAGGTATATTTTGAAAAACGTAAAGGCTCTTTTCAATTAACAAAACCAAAGCTGAGATTTCAAGAACAGTCTAGAAGTCTACAATTTGGCTCCCAAGCTAATTTTCAGGAGTTTAGGGCTATAACTCTATAACACAAATATACCAGATACAGCACTGCCTGGACAATGCTCATAAAACACTTAACGAAATAGCTTTCACAGACCTGTGTAAGCACAACTGAGAAGGTGAAAAGCCTTGGAATCAACAGCTGGGGGTAGTTAGGAGCAACTCCTTTTGTTGGCTGGCAGTACTGTCAAACTGCTCTGATCACAGAATTACATCAATTTACTTAGCAAGCATTTCAGCAGAGGAACACTTAGCAGTAACCTCCAATTTCAGAAACACTTATCTCATGACTAGCCATCTGAAAGTCTATCCATGTCTATCTGAAGGCAGAACAACTATTAATGTAATGAACTGGAAATTCATGTCTAGCGTCAAAAGAAAAAAATACATCAGAAAACATGCCATTTTAAAAATTAAATCCATTTATTTACATCACCTGACCACAGAACCTCCATCACTGACAGAACCTCATTAAGTGACAAGTAGCTTCAGAAGGATCACTTACTACAGTCATCACACGCTCCTCTGGAGGGAAAGTTTGAAAAGAACGACATGCTCGTAAATCTACAGGATCTCGCAGGTAAAAGGCCTGGACTGCTGCAGCCACCAGTGAAGGCCGCTGCCTCAGCACTGCCACAATACCTGCTGGAAGGTAGCAGTGGGCTCGGTGAAATGAGGCCTGAATTTTCTCAGGGTACCTGTATCACACAATAGCAACATAGTGTATTAAGTGTATTGCAAGCCCAAATCACTCCTTTTCAATTGCTATTCCGATTTTCACTTTAATATTAATCTATATTATGGGCCAAGTGCCAGAAGATTATTCTAAACTAAAGTTAAAACTCAGCTAATCTAAAACCTGGAACGACTGTTTATACATGGCTAATAAAAATTTAATCCCCGCATTGGTAAGATGAATCACTATTAACTAGACTAACATGTCCAGCTATAGAGCATCCTTCACCGCACCGAGTGTAGAAGTCATCTGGCTTGTGCTGTCAAATTTTTCCAAAAAATAATGTACAGTGCTGAACACACCTGTGACAAGCTGACGCTCCGAAAAAGCATGCTGGTTCTACATTTTAGTTTGCAGTCCTCTTTCTCACCCCCACAAAGGGCTCCTAAAGGCCCACAGAACTTTCAGATTTTTCAGTGCAAGAAGGAAGCAAAGGAAGAATAACTCTTTGTCACTGTCAGGTGCAGCATCATAGCAGTGAACCACTTTCAGAGCCCCTGGAACACAGTACAGCCTACAAGATGTTGGTCCCCCTCTTTAGAAGAATGCCACAGAAAAACCTCTAGCTGGTGGTTTCTGAAAAGGAAGCAACTTTATCACACCTAACAGAAAATGACTGAATATAAGAAGGTACCCCAAACAGCCCAGAATCAAAACTTATTGCTGCAGAAGGCCAAAATAAAACACCCACATACCCACTGATCCGTTTATACACTGCTGTCCTAATAGGTTCTGCAGCCAGGAACTCCTCTGAACGGGTGGATAACAGTGTTAACGCCTGCGAGATGGTTGGACTGGCAGCAGATAAGTCACACTCTTGCTCATGAGTCTCTGACAGTGGAATGATGTGCAGTTCTCCTTTGTAAAAGAACACCTGGCAGACAGTAACATTCTCATCACACAGGACAAGAACAGTCAACACACTAAGCAATGGAAAATTTAGCTTCATATATGAATGCATTTGTTTAAACACAGAGAATACTGAAGCACAAGTGGAGAAATAAGACAGGAAAAAAAAAAATATCTTTTTTTAAAATGGGAGACAAGGTAATGTCATGGTTTAACCTCAGCCAGCAATTAGTACCACACAGTCGCTTGCTCATCCTCACCCCCGCCGGGGGATGGGGGACAGAATTGGGAGGGGCAGAGGTCAGGAGACTCATGGGTTGAGATAAAAACAATTTAATAACTGAAATACAAAAATATAAAATAATAATTATAATAATAATAGTAATAATAGACTACAGAAATGAGTGATGCACAATGCAATTGCTCACCACCCACCGACCAACGCCCAGCCCGTCCCTGGCTAGTGATCCCAGAGGAGAGAAAACCCCAAAACTGCAATCCCAGAAGAGAGAGCAAGAACTTCCTGGCCAGCGCTCATCTATACACTGAGCATGACATTATATGATATGGAATATTCCATTGGTCAATTTGGGTCCGTTGCTCTGGCTATGCTCCCTCCCAGCTTCTTGTGCACCTGCACACTGGCAAGGCATGGAAAGTTGAAAAGTCCTTGATTTCCTAGCAACAACTAAAAACATCAGTGTATTATCAACATTCTTCTCATACCAATTCCCATACTGAATCCAAAACACAGCACTATTCTAGCTAGTAAGAAGAAAAATTATCTTTATCCCAGCTGAAGCCAGGACAGGTAAATACAGATGCCAGAGACCACAATCCAACTAGTAAACAAAAGCCCACCTATTTTAACTGTCAGAAGTTTGGTCAAATATATCTTGTTTCCACAATAACAGTAATACCAAAAGTTTCTCTTCAACTAGAGACCCGCTTCAGGAGAATCAGACAGCACAACCTAAGTGCTGAAGAACAGCAGAGGGACTAAAAAGCATTCTTCCAGGTGCTACAGGTGACCTGTTAAGTTCCTGAACCTAAGAAAACAATTGAATGTAACATCAACTCCCTTACCCCATCTGTTCCCTCAAACAGATGGAAAATATGGCCCCAATAGTCCAGATGCAGGTTTGCAATTAATTGTTATGTTGTGTTCCACTCCTTTTCTTTTAAGAGTCTTGTGGTAGGGAAAAAAAAAAAGAAAATCTTCGCTAATGAAAAAGTAAGTTCTTTCCATTTAAATCCATTGCCAAGAAACTCAGTGACGTAATTACTAGCAATCATCCACAGCGAGGTGGTCTGGCTGCAGACCCCGCCTGAAGGCATCCACTCATTAATTCACCTATGCCAGACCTAGTCTGCCTCCTTGTAGAGTCAGAACGCTCCAGTCTTGAGAATTCCCCAGTCTTGAGGGTAGTGAACCCTCGTGCCTGAGCACTTGAGAATATGGTAGAAAAAATCCAAGCAGATATAGCAGAACTAGAAAGTTCAGGTGGATCCAAGAGTGGTCCTGAGGAGAGCAATACGGTGCGTTCGTATTACACTGCCAAATACATCCCATTGTTCCTATGTTATCCAAGGTTTCCTTGCACTCCAGTATCCTAGAAAATGGGAAGCTGGCCAAACTCACCGATTTTACAGATCAATCAATAGCACAAGAGCTCCACTGCCATCACATCTACCACCATAAGTAGTACATTTTAAAAAGTTTAGTCAGCTCTACATTATGGAGCAACCCTTGAAGAATTATTTATGTGCAAGAGTCAGATCTAGCTGAACAACGCAGACTCACAGCTTAGCAGGCAGGTCTGTAGTCTCCATATGAATGCTCTGCCATTAGTATAAGGACATGTTAGTATAAGAACCTTCTCTTTCTTTCTTCCACCAACAAAGCAACTCTAGAAGAACCACTTGGTATCTGTAACAATTTCCAGGTATCTATATATCAGTTTCTCAGGACGCTCTCAATCTACACAGTATTCTGAAAGAGCACGCAGAGCAGAATTGAGTATCAGACATTTCCAGTGGTTAACTCTCTTATTCCATGTCCACTGCCAGCATTAAGAAGCTCATTAAAACCAGAATGAAAACAAGACTGTGCTGACAAAAACATGCTGTTAATTAAAACAAGTCTTGAGCCCTGACCAGAAGTTTCTTCACAGGCAGTACTCTGGATTTTCAGTGGGAGTCAGACCACTTGGCTACGTAGACGTGCAAGAGAAAACTTTACAACTTGTAAGTAAATGGCCATTGCGAGCCATTTGCCAATTGGTATCGAAGTTCTACTCACCCTGTTGTCGCTATTCTCAGGATTCAGCCACTTTGGGAGAAAATCAGCGGCTTCTATCAAGAGAAACTCCCCATCATTGTCATCGATCCTGGCCAAGGAGAAATGGGTTTCTTACCAGGGAAAGTCTCACACAGCACAGTAACGCATGCTTCTAAATGCATGTCTGCGTTCTTTTCCTAATATTAAGGCAGAACCTGCCTTGATATTAATTAATATATATTAAGTAATTAATTAATAGCAAGTCAGACCTGCTAGAGAAGGCACGGCCCCTCCGCACCCCCG